TTCCCACTCCCCTGGGGGTCAGGGGGTGCAACTTGTTTTATAACCAGACGTCCCCCTCCAAACCATACAACTTTTATTCGACAATTTTTTTTGTCAGATGCATACATTTCGAGAAATTTCCAAATAAAGATTAAAATGGGACACCCGGTATATTCATATGAAATATTCAAATATGCAATTTGAAAAAAAAATTCGAACCAGAAAATGCTTCGTCAGCATACTTTAATAATTTTCACACTGATAAATTAAGTATTTGAAATAAAATGAATTGATATTCAACACATCAGATATGATTATGGGTATGAAATATAGAACAGCAGCAGTTAAGAAGATTGCCAAGTAGAATGTACATATAGAAAAATAAATAGAATAGATATATTACGAGGAATTGTGGATCACCTTGTATATCAATTTCAAAAAATACCCAGTGGCAATTAATTTTGATTGATCTGATTCGCGAGTAATGGTACTAATACTTGTTCTTATAGTATATATAGTTGCACAATCATTAGTTATCACCTCGGTTTTCACTTTCGGAGATATTTATCACAGCTCTTAGCACCATGCTGAAGAATCTTGCCTCGGATCATGCTTGTAGCTATAAAAAATTTTTGGCAAGGTCATTGACCGTCCGCTGCTTCTCATGTCGTTCATTCAACTTTTTGTTTTGGGAATTTTCACGCAGGCAACACACACTGTCTAAATCAAATGAAACACCTATGCACTGAGAATTTGATATACAGGGTGTCCCCCAGACATAGAGCTACCACGTGTAATACAGGTCAAAATAAGTTGATTGGAACGGATTGGACCCAATTTATTTATAAATCAAAATGTACTGTTTGTCTGTGAGACGAGTTCAAAGTTTACATAGAAAAACGCATTTTTGTATGCTGATCAAAAATGAGTGAAACAAATTGGATGAAATTTGACGGAAGTGCATTTTATAGGATAATCCTTTTTTCAGTAATCAAAAACACCCATAATGGCCGTAATTGTAGAGGGGTTGAAACCATCGTCATTCCCTGAAATTATTCTCAGAACATTCTCAGGGGTGGTGATAGGTTTCTCAAATTTTCTCAATATATCTATATTTCTTTCCTTCAAAAATTTTTTCAAACAAATTGTCACTGACAAGCTACTGGATTTTTCTTTTAGACTCCCTGATAGAAAAATTTGTTAAACGCAGTGACATTTTGGGGCAAATCATCTGATTTGTCCCTCTACAAATATATTGAAATAATACGAATACTTTTATTTTATAGAAACGAGGAGAGAAAATCCCAAAGAAACAAGTAAAATGAATTTAAAAATAATATTGATTCGAAATACACTAGTTATGAGATGAACTATTCTTTTCCAATAATTTTGACACTAGTTTTAATGGAATTTTATCGTAGAATTCTGTTTGAATGAAAAACGCACAAACAAGAATTTCAAAAGATGCCTCTCAGGAAAACTATCTGATTTCTACTGAATTTTCTGAAAAATTAGGCTATTCGTCGATAATCGATAATTTCGCGTGAATTTAATATATTGTTAAGAAACATTGAATAACTACCTTTCGAAGATAATAACATACGAGAAAATAAAAAAAATACTTCATTCTAGGACATTATTATACGTAGTTCTCATTTCAAAGCAAACGAGTTATATATTTTTTTCTGGTAAATAAATCATTCTTCCTCACCTTCAAACTGATCAATTAGAACTATACCATATAAAAATGAAATACCCGTCGATCGCATTTATGTTTATGTGCATTCTATCCAAGAATAAGTGAGAGTTACGACACACATGGATTTCTATGAAATCAATGATTATCAATTAGGTGCGATTATTTATACCGGGTGGAACAGGACACAGGAGAGGAAGTGTTTTGACAGATGTCCAAGCAAAAACCCAATCACGAATCTGCGACTGAGGTCTATAAAAATAACAAGGGGGTTTATGAACTCAAAGTTGTTATAGTTTATCCAAAACTAATTGCAGAATCTTGTGCCGTACCTGCAGTCACTTCAAAGGAATCTTCAAACACGCCGACGCCGCACAGTGCGGGATATTCTGCAATTGATATTGGATATATACTTCACTCTCCCCTAGTGAGGGTACCTGTCGTATTTCTATAGAGACATAAAGATGAAAGAAATCAATATATCGCCTTCCCTACGAACATGGTGATCAATTTAGAGAAGTACACTCTGGTCATTTTTCCCTGTGGATCGTTTCTTAGGTTCGGCTTGACTGGATGGTTTTCCCGGATTTTGTGTCAAGTATCAAACACTGTGCTTCTCGGATCTGCAACTTAACATCACATATCAAATATCGAATCAAAATTGATTATTATTGGATGCGGTTCATGGATGTTGAATTAGAAACTTACCTGAATATTTTTTGCAACGTTCGTAGTCGGATTGCAACAAATAAGTTTTTTTTCCGAATAGAAGTTTCCTCAGTAGACTTCATCCACAACTCCACATTACGTGGGTTATAATCAAAACCTGGAATGCCAAACACTGTGCTGCTCCGATCTAAAACTAGGTATCTATTTGAAATTCGAATCGTGAGACGAACATGGAATGAAGAGTCTGCATATTGTTTTCAACATTCGTAACTGGAATGCGATATATTTTCGTAATTTATTAATTAATCAACTATCTCAATGAATACGAGGCAGGCAGAAAGCAACAATTTTCTCTGCGATGGAAAACACTGTATATACCTAACCCATCTAGCGCCTACCTCCTTTGCAGAGAGGGTTTATCAACGCAAAGTTGGCACTCTCCCCTCGTAAGGGCACCTGTCGTGTTCCATAGAGACATAAAGGTGAATATCTGTCTATCTGTTGCTTGAGAATCTGGAAAAAAATCAATATATCGCCTTCCGTACGAGCATGGTGATCTGTATTTGAAGAAGTATACTCTGGTAATTTTTCTCTGTGGAGCGTTCCCTCGGTTCGGCTTGACTGGATGGCTTTCTCAGTTTTTGTTTCAAGTATCAAACATTGTGTTTCTCGGATCTGCAACTGCACATCACATATCAAATATCGAATCAAATTAATCCAAAAAGGTTATTATTAGATGCTGTACATACATGGATGTTGAATTAGAAACTCCCCTGAATATTTTTGCAACGTTCGTAGTTGGATTGCAACATATAAGTTTTGTTTCCGAATAGAAGTTTCCTCAGTAGGCTTCATCCACATTACCACTTGACGTGATTCATAATAAAGACCTGGAATACCAAACACTGTGCTGCTCGGACCTAAAACTAAGTATTAATTTGAAATTTGTATCGTGAGACGAAGATGGAATGAAGAGTCTGGATATTGTTTTCAACATTCGTAACTGGAATGCGATATATTTTTGTAATTTATCAATTAATCAACTATCCCAATGAATATGAGGCAGGCAGATAAGCAACAATTTTCTCTGCGATGAAAAACACTGTATATACCTGACCCATCTAGCGTCTACCTCCTTTGCAGAGAGGGTTTATGAACGCAAAGTTGGTACTCTCCCCTCGTAAGGGTACCTCTCGTGTTTCCATAAAGACATAAAGGTGAATATCTGTCTATCTGTTTGCTTGAGAATATGGAAAAACATCAATATATCGCCTTCCGTACGAGCATGGTGATCGGAATTAGATGAAATATACTCTGATCATTTTTCTTTGTGGATCGTTCCTTCGGTTCGGCTTGACTGGATGGCTCTCTCGGATTTTGTATCAAGTATCAAACACTGTGCTTCTCGGATCTGCAACTTAACATCACATATCAAATATCGAATCATATGAATCAAAAATGATTATTATTGGATGCGGTTCATGGATGTTGAAATAGAAACTTACCTGGATATTTCTTGCAACGTTCGTAGTTGGATTGCAACATGTAAGTATTGTTTCCGAATAGAAGATTTTTAGTAGAGCTCACCCACATCTCCACATTACGCGAGTTATAATCAAGACCTGGAATGCCAAACACTGTGCTGCTCGGATCTAAAACTAAGTATCAATTCGAAATTTGAATCGTGAGACGAACATGGAATGAAGAGTCTGCATATTGTTGTCAACATTCGTAACTGGAATGCGATATATTTTCGTAATTTATTAATCAATCAACTCAATGAATACGAGGCAGGCAGATAAGCAACAATTTTCTCTGCGATGAAAAACACTGTATACCGGGTGACACAGGAGACATGTAGCAGCCTGTAGTTTTTTTATTTGAAGAGATAAAATTTTGAAATTCACAGGATCTATATAATAAATGGTAGCGCACTTAACGAACTTAACGACAATTTTTTTCAACCACCTGTTTGTCCGAAAGTGACCCCAACTTTTTTATTTTAAATGTCACCCTGTACATTTCTTCAGTCTATCTTTTTCGCCATGAAATTCTCTATCCAATCATGTATCACAAAGTGGCATTTATTTCTTAATTCACTGTTGAATTGCTTTTTATTTTAAAAGAATAAGTTAGCTGTGACATGAATTCGATGATATATCGACACTTGGTAGGCTTTGAAATTTAAAGATCATTAGTAAACCGATATTATTCAAAATGTTTTGATATTCTGATCAATGTCTGCAGGTTGTCAATAGCTTGTTTGAGTCAAGATGAAAACCTTCGAGAATAACTCATGATATCGAGGAATCTAAGATAGGAACATATTATTTCGAACTCAGCTACTCATACAGAAACTATCTGTCTTTTATTTTCGCCATGTGCCTATCACATGATCTTCCCATTTGGAATAATAAAACTAAAATTGTTCCTCTTATACGATGATCCATAGGGCTATCAGTCTATTTTTTCATAATTATTTCACTTAGTAGGCGGTGTACCTACACAAAATGTTTTATCTGTTTGACAGTTAATCGATTGCATCAATAATTTTTCTTCTTCATTTGCGTGTTGATTGAAATTGCATATTATCAATAGAGACGGAAAATGTATTCAAGAAACGAAAAAGTCGAATATCCATCTTTTTTTTTCACAGTTCGAGCGTACGACAACGCGACCACGTGCGGCCTAGTGTGGACGCCGAACTTCGTCGCCTACAGATGTCGCACCTGCGGCATATCGCCGTGCATGTCGCTGTGCACGGAGTGCTTCAAGAAGGGCAACCACGCCAGGCACGACTTCAACATGTTCCTGAGCCAGGCGGGGGGAGCTTGCGATTGCGGCGATACGTCCGTCATGAAGGAGACCGGGTCAGTGTAGAGTCCGACGCATTGACATATAGGAAGAAGGGATACATAACATTTCATTAATTGATACAGTCTGTATATTATTTCTTTGCGCGTACGTCACAACTTCAACAAACGAATCAAATCAATTCAAGGTCATATGTTCCAGTGAAGCAGTGCCGTGCTGCTTCAGAAATTGGGTTAAAATAAATAATAATATTCAGAAAAAATGTATTCACTACTCCAGGTAATTTTGACTAAGGAACATTCAATAAAACAAAGGATTGGTATATATTTCAAGTTTGAATTCGTAAATTTATTGAAACATTGTATCAGAACTTTGGTATGTATATACGTATGGGCTGGTATATGACCCGATATACACATCTTTTTAATGCTTTTGTACAATCGTGCATTAATAGACAAATTGATCATTAATAGGGGTCATTAATGAACGATTTCATAAGCATTAAAATTACTCGTTAATACGAGGTCGACGGAAAATTTTATTATTATTATTATCATCTTTATATTTCAGAAAAACACCAGTATAAATCGAAAAAAAGTCATTATTTCATAAAAATGATCTGAATTTGTAGATTTTTATCGAAAAAATCGCGATTTTCGCAACTAACTATTTCGTTCGTTTTCCAGTTTTTGCGATCTGCACGGCCCGAACAAGAGCTCGGGCAAGGGCCAGGCGCCCACTGACTTCCAACATTGAAAATGATTATTTGAATAGCAAATTCGTTTTTGTCTTGATACTTTTCAGTTTTCAGTGACAATTGGTGAAGTTGGCAATCAAATGAGTTGAAGGATGTTTTCATTAATCAATCTTGAATTAATCATTTTCAGATTTCAGTAGTGAATACCTTGTTCTATCTACAGTTCTCAACACACTAAATGGAGACCACTCATAACTTGACTCCACTGGGACCTCATCTCGGGACGTTTTCGTGATTTCTCCTCAATTGGCCATTGGAACAAAAATTCGATTTTTTTTTCGAAAGCATTTCTTGAAATTTTTCTCTAGAACTGCACTTGAGCTGACTATTGGGAAGAACTGTTCTCATGTTTTGTGGAGGACAATGAAAGACGAAAGGAGCACTATTGTGGAATATACAGGATGATAAGAAGATAGGACAAGATCTCATTTCAGTGAAAAAATAAAAAATGGTGACTAAAACCATGGCCAATTCGATTCAGTATATTCAGAAACGGCCTTCTCGATATCCATTATTTATATCCGACTATTAACTTGAAACATTCACAAAAATTCGTCTCTAATTGAAATACAGGATGAAAATTTGCAATTCAAACTTGTTTCCTGATATCGATGATTCTTGTCAACTGATTTCCAATTTTTATTGCCCAAGTATGAGACGGAGAGTATTGTTGTTCAATATACTGAGTGTTTCACAACTTATCTGACAAATTTCAACAACAACTTAAATATTACATAAGAAGTCGATCACATAATAATTTCAAAGAAGTAGAACGAGATGGAAAATAAAATGTATAACACTATTGGCGAAATATGACATTATTGAATTCTTCAGCATTATGAAGATCTAACTAAAAAGTTCTATATCCTAAATTTCAGTACTTAGTAGGGCCTCCCCGATTTAACAAAATCTCATGAAATCGGTTTGGCATAGGTTCTATGAGGTTGTTGATGAAGTCTATTGATATTGCCTCCCATTCTTCTGATATAGCTTGGATGAGGTTGTCATTATTTTTGAGTGCCTCTCGCCTTCTCGATGAGTTAAGTTTCATTCGGCTCCATACACGTTTAATCAAATTCAGATCTTGAGATAATGCTGGTCACCACATTCTTCTAACATTATTGTTTTCTAGAGTTCGTAATTTGTCAGATAAGTTGTGAAACACTCAGTATATTGAACAATAATACTCTCTGTGTCTCATACTTGGGCTATGAATATTGGAAATCAGTTGACAAAAATCATCGATATCAGGAAACAAGTTTGAATTGAAAATTTTCATCCTGTATTTCAATTGGCTTATATCACAAACAAATTTTATTTCATAATTCGATAGAACTCACCCAAACTAGCTCACCACCACAAACCGTTTCTTGCTGTGAGCTCCCTACGTTTTATAAGAAATTATTGAAATCCCCGATTTTTCGGACCTCTGAAAACGAGGCGATGATGTGACGTCAAAACCCTAATACTGAAACACGACTATTCCAGACAGAGATGAATGATACATGATTTCTGACAGAGTGAATTAGCGCGAGATCACAGTTGAAAGAATTAATATATCAGTTGCTTCAGTCTCCGTCGGGCTTTTGGTATTTTCTTTTAACTATGGCGAGATAAGGTTTCTACGTCATAAGAGGTTTCTACGTCGTTTTCAGATGATACTATTATTTATGTCCAAAAATAAAACATTCTAGTTAATTTTTCGATCGAATTATGTCATCAATCATTATAAACATGGTTTGAGTTGAAAGTTCTACTAAGGTGTACACACCCATTAGAGAAGAATTTTCGAAAACGTCTCGAGTTGGTAGTCTAATATAAATAATGGATATCAAGAAGGCCGTTTCTGAATATGCTGAATCGGATGGGCCATGGTTTTAGTCACCATTTTTTATATTTTTCACTAAAATGAGATTTTGTCCTATATTCTTATCATCCTGTATATTCCACAATAGTGCTTATTTCGTCTTTCATTGTCCTCCACAAAACATAAGAACAGTTCTTCCCAATAGTCAGCTCAAGTGGAGTTCTAGAGAAAAAATTCAAGAAATGCAAGTCTTACGAAAAAAAAAAAAAAAAAAATGTAATCTTTGTTCCAATGTCCAATGAAGGAGGAATCACGAAAACGTTTCGAGATGAGGTCCCAGTGTATCATAATATGACTGACTTTTGATCAGAAAAAAATTTCTCGATTTCTGGCAGTATTGGAAATGTAGACCATAGTGTAATGGTTTCACTTTACTTTACTTACTTACTTACTTACTTACTTAATCTTTATTTTCCTTTCAGACAATATTACATTGTATAGGAATCGTCACAATATAAACTTATAATCTATCTTAAATCTAGTATCACAAGTGAGTATAGTAAAGTAATGATTAAAAAGCAGTTCACAAAAAATCATGGACGGAATAGTGAGATTTCAGCAAAAGATATTCTTTTAATTTTATTTTGAATTGTTTGGTCGAGGAAATACATTTGATGTTTTGTGGGATTTTGTTATAAAGCATTGGGCCCATGTTGTTTGGAGATTTGAATGTGAGCGTTTTTGTAGTAATAGGCAGGTGTAGGTTATCTTTTGATCTAGTGTTAAAATTATGAACTTGAGAATTTTTCACAAAACTTTTGTTGTTATGAACATAAACACACATTTCAAAAATATACAGACATGCAAGTGTTAAAACTTTCAATTCTTCAAAAATAGTTTTACAGCTATCAGTACGTGATTTGAAGACCATTGTTCTAATAATTTTTTTCTGAGCCATAAATACCTCAGCCGAGTGAGCTGACCAACCCCAAAAGCAAATACCGTAGCGTAATCGCGATTCGACTTGGCCGTAATATACCATCAGTAATTGTTGACGAGTTAAAATTTCTCGCAGATTCCTCATAAGAAAATTTTGCGAAGATAAGGTTCGAGTCAAGCTATCACAATGAATTTTCCAATTCAAAGTATTGTCCAAGTTCAAACCAAGAAATTTAACAGAAGATTGTTCGGATAAATTTTCATTTTCATATTTAATATTCAATGTCGTGCATGTTTTGTGACTACTGCGGAACCTGATATATTGAGTCTTCTCATTATTCATATAAAGGGAATTTTTGCAAAACCAATTGTTTATATCCAGGAGTGTATTATTACAATAATATTCTAAAGTTTCATCAGATTTATGAGATATTATCAAAGAAGTGTCGTCTGCGAAAAGAGTGAATGACACGTTTTCAGAGGAAGTTTCTACATCGTTAACATATAGAAGGAATAATATTGGACCCATTATAGACCCCTGTGGTACACCTACGGCAGTATCAAGTGAAGAAGATGTGATGTTTTGACGAAAATTCATCTCATTTGTATTTGTAATACTCACAAACTGCTTTCTATTGCATAAGAATGTTTGAATCCAATTGAGCGCTGAACCTTCAATACCAAATTTTCGTAATTTATTAATGAGTATAGTATGATCAACACAGTCGAATGCCCTGGTCAAATCACAGAAAATCCCCACAGGGCATTCGCCCGTGTTGATCAAGCTGACGATTTTGTCATAAAATGAATGAATGGCAGTAATTGTACTTTTATTTTCTTGAAATCCGTGCTGGTTTTCAGAAATTTTGTCATTTTTACTAAGATAGGCAAGTAGACGCTCTAAATAGGCATATTCTAGGATTTTTGAGAAAGTCATAGGGATAGTCACAGGTCTATAGTTCTCGATATTATGTGTTTCCCCCTTTTTGTGTATCGGGATTATTTTTCCAAGTTTCAGGTTGTCTGGAAAAGTTCCGTAACAAAACGACAAATGGACTAAATAGGTGATAGGCTTGACAATATATACAAGAACCTTTTTGACTAGGAAATTAGGGATTTCATCTGCACCAGAAGAGGTAGTATTTTTGAGTTTCTTCACAAGAACATTATAGAGTTCAACTTCGGTATATGGTTGAAGTAAAAATTGGTTTTCTTCGATTTTAGAATCAAGTTTGGTTTTGTTATCCTCAATATTTAGTTTATTAATCTTGTCCAATATTTTTATAGGTGCTTGTTGGAAATGATTATTGAACATATCACTCACAATTGATGGATTCACTATTATATCGTTTTCAGCTTTCAATGCTATATTATAATTTTTCTTATGTTTACCGGAAATCTCGGAGACTACTCTCCAGCAAGCCTTATTCACGTTATTAGAGCTGAATATTTTTGTTTGATAGTATTGCTTTTTTGCTTCCGTAACCAAATCCTCATGTCTCCTTTTAGCAGTGAGATATGAGGATCTCAATTCTGGAAATAGCCTTGATAGTGTATGAGCATCTTTCAGTTTAGAACTTGATTCGCGAATATCCTTATTAACCCATGCTTTTTCACTATTGTGTGAAAACGTATCACAGAACAATGAAAAAGCTAAGGATACATCTCTACAGTGATAAAGATTGATCCAGTTCTCATTATTGAGCTCTTTCGCGAAATTCTGTATGGCAAAGTCAGGGTAACACCTCTTCTGGAAAGACATATTGGGAATTTTCAAATCAATATCGAATTCATACAGTAAAGTCCTGTGATCTGAAACGAAATTGTCATGTACACAGATCAGGCCACCATTGATATTCGTAAAAATGTGATCTATTTCAGTTACACTCGATCCCGCTACACGAGTTGGCCAGCCCCCCTCGTGATTGAGACCACAGCTCAAAAAAACATTATTAAGTTGATCAAAATTAGATGAACGGCTACGACTATCAAAATTAAAATCCCCGCAAATTACAATATGCATTTTTGGTTCGAGAATATATTCTAAAATATCGTTTATGCCTTCAAAAAATATTTTTGCGTCTCCAGAAGGAGACCTATAAATATTCAGAATGGTTTGTCTTATATTATCAAATTTGCAAGATACAGCACAGGCCTCAACGTGCTTGTCACTACAAAAGCTTTTTAAATCAATTTCAGTCACATTGAGGAATTTTTTTGCCCATATTCCAACACCACCACCTTTACATGTGGTTCTAGAATAACTACTTACAATAGAGTATTCGTCAAAGTTACAATAACTCATAGCTGCGTTATTCATCCAAGTTTCATTTAGACATAAAAAGTATAAATTTTTGTAATCAGAAATATCAATCATCAAATCATTAACTTTTTCATTAGTCAAACATTGAATATTGAGACTCAATAATTTTGGATCGAAAATCAGGGGATCGATTTTTCTTTCTTCTCCTTGAAGAAAAAACGTTGAACATATGCATCTTCAGGCCAAATGGTTGGATTCATGGCCCGTTTAAAATTTTTTTCATGTATGGTCACTTTGAATGACGAATATATATCAGGGCGTTTAGAATTGATCGACTCACATATTACTTCAGGAAAGTGTGGTTCCACGAATTTTTTCAGAGTCTCCGAAGTTGTTCCAGGAGTAACTCTATACACATGTAAAACAGCAGTTTTTGGTACTCCTTTGAGTGTCCCATTATTTGAATTGTTTATACCAATTACAGCTTGCTGCTTTCGTCTTCTGTTTGCAACTGTCTTCCATTCCTCATCATTTGGTGAAGTGGATGATGATGAGTGATTGATTATGGGATCTACTATAGTTTTTTGAGCAGCAGCGATCCCACTTCTCACTTGCTCTCTCGTTATCACATTATTTCGGTTCTTATGTCCACTAGACATACCTTCCGAATTGTTAGCAGATGATTCTGCTCTGTTATCGAATACCGAATATTTTTCATCACTAATCTTATTTATTTTTGATTTCTTGGATAAATCATCTGAACACAAAGACGTGGCAACATTGTTATTCACACAGATCGGGGACTCGTTCGTTTTCTGAGGTTTTTTATCGTGACTCAACAATTCGATTATCAAATCCTTATCAACGAGAGCTTTAGTTAATTCATTGTTCAATTTTTTGTAGCATTCGAGTTCTGTTCGCACACATTTAAGATCACATTTCAATGTTGTTTCCATGGTTAACCTCTCAATGTCACTTCGATTTTGCACATGTGGTTCACTGAAAGAGTCGAAGAATTCACTGTTTTCACTGTTCTCGATGCACTTTCGAACATTGTCACTTAGCTTGAAGTCTTTGAGAAGTTTCTTCTTCATTATTATTTCAATTAATTCACATTTTTTGAGTTTATCTAGCTCACGATAAACAGCTTCTTCACTCGCCATGTTGCCAATTACACACCCTGTGTATGTTTTGTCCTGCGGACTTTCTCAAAGTGTTCTAGCTCTTTCTGAAGCCGATGAAACATCTCGGAAACATCACATCTGATATCGAAAACCGCATGAAGATCGGTCATTTTTTTCAAAAAATACAGGTCTTCAAAAGAAAGATCTAAATTTTTAATTTCTTTTTCGAAAAAATCGCGATTTTCAACTGTTTCGTTCGTTTTTCAGCTTTTGCGACCGGCACGGGCCGAACAAGAGCTCGGGCAAGGGCCAGGCGCCCGCCGACCTGATGTGCGTCGGCGAGGCGATGATGCCGCGCATCGTGCTGCGACTCGTGCAGCATCTCAGAGAGCACAGCCGCCACGGCACGGCCGACTCGTACAAGCGCGCCGTCCAGGACGCCGACGCCTTCATCGCCATGCTGTTGGATTTCAATAACATGGGCGGACTGATGCGGAAGGTGATCACGTCGGCGCTGACTAATCCGCAGGTGAGATACGGGTGGGGGGGGATTAAAAGTTATGATAATTATGATGAGTCAGGGATGCGCCAATGACATGGACATTGATTTATTTCTCTAAAGATTCAAATACTTAATATTATCATGGACATGAAAAGTGATTTAGAGAAAATATCCTCTTGGTTACAAGTTCATAAACTATCTCTCAATTATAACAAATCCTCATATATGTACATAGCAAAAAGAACATTGAACATTTCAAATAGAACACTATCCTTCAACAACAAACTCATCAAATATACAGATGTAACAAAATTTTTAGGTCTTTATATTAACGACTATTGTGGAATAAACATATAGATCATTTGAGAAAAAAACTTAATCCTATTACAGGCATTTTATTCAAAATACGAAATTTCATTTCTACTAGATACTTGAAGAGTATTTATTTCTCTCTTATTTACTCACAATTTCAATACCTAATATCTGTATGGGGAAGTACCAATATTTCACGTTTGAGTCCTCTAATGAAATTACAAAATAAAACATTGAAGTGTATTTTCAATTTAAATTTTCTCGAACCAACCATGAATTTATACAAACCTAGAGATTTATTAGATCTGACATCACTATATAAACTTAAAATATGTTGTTTTATTCAATTTGTCCTATATAAATTGAAAATTTCAAATTTATATTTCAATGAAATCAATTCATTACATAATCATGGAACAAGACAATCAAATTTACTGATAGCAAATACGTTCAAGTCAAATATCGGCAAACAATCCATTTTTCACACAGGAATCGTTCTATACAACTCATTACCAAGTCAATTGAGGAATATACAGGAAGCAACTAGATTCAAAATTAACTTGAAAACATATCTGCTTCAGAGACTTTGATATTTCCATTTCCTATTTGAATACCTACTTATAAAAGACAAGGTTGATATTGCATGATTATTTGTATTTTTTTTACTTGTTATATCTTATTATAATTTCATAATTGTATGTATAACATTATGTATATTGTTTATGTATCCCTATTATAAACAACTATGTTTCTTGGGGTAATAAAGACAATCAATCAATCAATGTCAAGAAATTCAAATTGTGTAATAACTTCCTATTCCATTTGTAACAGTGGCGAGGCGTGGGAGAATCAAGGCTAAATTTTCAGAGTTTCAAACCAAAGGACCCTGCATTTTTTCTATATAAAAATGGGGTCGAATTTCCTGGATTTCTGGTATATTATAGAACTCGACCTAATGATCAAATATGTCAAGTCCTAATCCGATCCTATGACCAGTTTTTGAGATACAGGGTGTTGGAGTTGAGAAATGACCCCATTTCTGCTAGCAGTTTTTCAGTTCAACCTTTAGGTACAGCAACCATATACAGAATATTCAACCAAAGCTGATCTCTCACAGCATTATAACAATTCAAACAAATTCTTGCATCATCAAGGATGTCAATAAGAGGATTTCCGACAGCTTGCCTTCTGAATATTTCAATTTGCAGCAAATCAACATTATCATCTCCATATATATGAACTGCATGTCTAGGGAAAAAATTTCGATTGCAAACACCTTGTAACTCGTAAATATAGATATCGATATGCAGTTTTTACCTCTGAGTTTGTCACGTGAATTGATCAACAGGCCCACTTTGGCCTACCCTGTACAGTGAACTGTAACCTCTAGGGGTGAGCCACAATAGACCCATCTCGGGTCGCAGTGGAGGGGTGGTAGGGTGGTATACGCCCCACTCACATGGAACCTAATCTACCATTCAGGGGGGGGTGAAAGAAGTCACAACTCCACCACGTGAACAATTCATTAATGACCAACGGTCATGGACATGAGGACATGTTTCAAAGGATTAATCCTTCATCATCAGCAAATTTATAAAACAATTCTGTAAGAAGATATGACGCTAATGTTAGTTTTTAAGTATTGATTAAAAATCTGAATGTACCTATTGGTGGAAAAAGATTACGTATTTAAAAACTATTTTTAACCGCGCATAGTCGTTACCACCGATACAACAAGGCCAGCAGACTCTGACGTAAACAGCTCGTGACGTCACCAAGAGAGGCCAGTGTTTTATTTTATCGCTTGTCGACTAACGCGTCAGTTCGTGTTAATTCATCGGTGATTCACGTATGTTTTTGAAACGGTCCCGAATTCTTTTGTTGTTTATTCATCAAAATAATTGGCGGAAAAATTACTGTTTTGTGAAATATTTTGTGTTGTGATCGGCGAAATAACAATGCCTTTCAAGTGTTGTGTTCCCTTTTGTCGGGGGAATTATGTGGGTGGTTCAAAAGTTCATGCTTTTAGTTTCCCGTTGGACGAGGAGCTATCGAAAATGTGGGTATATGCAATTCACCGCGAGGATTTTACTCCATCTAAGTTCAGTAGTAAACAGAGCTTAATTTATAATGATGAATTAATAATAGAAGACAATTACTCTCTCATGAAAAGTATAAGTAGAGGAAAAATAGAAAAGCTTTGATTGTGCAGTTAGTTTTGTATTCTTATATTATAGTCAACAAAATCATCTCTGAATTCGAGGAAATTTTCTTGAATGTTCATAATAAACGGGCATTTTTAACTCTCATTCTCAAATTTCTTTCTGAAAACGGTCATTTGCCTCGTGGCAATTTTTTTTTATTTATTTGTTTATTTATTTATTGAACAAATAACTTCCAGACAGAATAGGCTTTGGTATAAAGAAGTACATAATTATATACCTATAGGTAAACATAGCATCATTCAAAATATATCAACAACTGTAAATTGGCAAACAAAGAATAATATTTGTAAAAAAAAATGGCATGATTAATTTTATCCAGTCCGCTCAGAAATAATCAGTTTTTTTACTTCATTTTTGAATATACCTATATTTCTGCAATTTTTTATATTATCAGGTAGTTTATTGAATTCAGTTAAGGCTGAATGAGTGAATCTTTTTTGTCCGATTAGGGAGCTAGCAGCGTCAAGATGAAACAAGTTATATTGTCTAGTTTCATGATTATGAATTTCAGAATTCCGTATCAAAATAATATTCGACTTCAATTTTTTATTTATTATATTATATGATATTTTAAGAGTTTCAATTCTATATATTTCATCTAAAGAATACGTATTTGTTATTTCATACAATTGATTGGTTGGTGTATCAAATGGGAGACGATACAATACTTTTAACGATTTTCTATATAATGTTGATATTTTATTGAAATTATTTTTTGAACAAGATCCCCAAACATTTATTAAATAGTTGATACGACTCAGTATATGAGAGTAGAGAATCATGTTTGCAATTTTAATATCAAGTTTGGGACATCTTCTCAATGCACCAATAATTGGAGATATTTTTTTTGTCAGAACATCAATATGTTTGTCCCACTTCAACCTGTCATCAAACCAAATACTAAGATATTTTATCTGGTCAGTTTGTTTCAAGAGTTCATTTTTTATTTTAAGGTTGAGGTAAATTTTTTGTTTATTTTTTTGGTGAAAAATCATCCCAATGATCAAATTGCAACTATCATATTAACATGAACTACAAACACTCTACTTAAAAAGGTAAAACTGCATTTATCATGATATTTATCATGAAGATATTTGACTAGAAAGTTCAAAATTTCACCTTCTTTTTCACCTGTCTTCTGGATGGCATTTAGAACAAATTTCCCTTTTTTTTTCATCATATTGGACAATTTATATATAATTCAACTATAAATATGATTTTCTTGAGATTAATCCATATTTAGTGAAAAGAAGGAAGAATATCATTCAAAATAATGGCGTGTGTAATGTCATTCGAAAGCAATCTATTGACATTTGACATCTCGTATTTTGATTGACTATTGATTAAATGGTCGTCATCTGGAATGCTTGTTCACTAAATATGAAAAACTCGCCATAAAAATCATATTTCCTGTTGAATTTTCTATATAAAAATGTGCCATCGAAGTACATCATGAGTATATAAAGTGTCCAATGACAAAATAAGAGCAAGTAGCTTCAAATGCCCCCAACACAAGGGGAGAAAGAAGGCGAAATTTCGAACTTTTTCTTGAAATATCTCAATAAATAGTGGTTTGTTCACATTTTCATTATAAAATTCGGTTTATCAGACAAAAATACCTGAGTACCGAAAAAAATTTTCAAAAAAAACCATCGCATGATAAATGCAGTTTTACCCTTAAAAATTACGGTTTCAAGTGTAACGATCCACTTGGGTGAAAAATCCAACATCAGAAAATTGAAAACACTCACTGGTTATTTTTTCAGGTAATAGGAATTCTCCAAGATAAATATAGGTAATTGTAACAAACGGCATGTCAATCAAAATAAAATACATTTTCCATAATTTTCTTTCTATCAATCTCACGATAAGTTTATGTTCTGCGGGCCCTGTATAAGTAGGTGTGAAGTTTACCTTCACCACAATTTTTGCCAATATATTTAATTCGAATGGGTTGCTGTAGGTGGATATTTGTGTTTCATCCTAGTTTTTGCTTTAAAACTTCGTTTTTCCATAATAAAATCGAATGGGGTGCGAAGAAGGGCTCAGTTGACGACTGGCATCCTTTTTTAACCGGACGCCCTTCAAAAAACAGCAAAATCGGCTCAATGATGATCTAAAACTAAAATCGAAATACGCGGTCGCCTTATAGCGCTATAAGCGCTTGTCGTTTCGAGCCGCTAATTAGGCCTCACTAAGTGACGTCACCCACGGAGCATGCAGGCCTTGTTGTATCGGTGGTAACGGTATAGTGCGAGTGAGTAACTGTTAGCGAACCATGATAACAGCTCTACAAGAGCTTAGTTTTCGAAAACAGTATATGAATCAAATATTAAATTGAACCAACATGTGGGCCTGAATTTGTTGAATTAGGTTAACTAATCACACATGACAATCGTGAAATAAATGACCATTGATAACAATGACGCTGAGGACAAAACGCAACATCAGAATGACACCAGTCAAGTCAAAACCAAAGAATGTTTTGATTCAAACTGACATAGAACACAGAACAAAATTGTAATTGAAACAACAAAGAGTTGAATAATTTAAGACTATCGAATATCAATGAACAAACTCAATTCGATAGTCTTGAATTATTCAACTCCTTGTTATTTATTATTATTTTATTATTCATTTATTGTTCACACAAAACATACAGTTTTATAAACAAGAAATTTGGTAGAATTACAGGAGTTACTAATTGAATATAGATATTAATATGAAATCAAAATTAAATCTAAACCTGAATATAAGAGGATATACCATAAATTCAGATTCAGATTCAGATTTATTCAGATACCATAAGTTACAGAATATTTTGATACAATGTTGTCATTATGTTTCCACTTCAAAAACAAGTAATCCACCTAAGCAATCGAGATGCTTGTATCGTAGCATTACGTTATTTTTGAGTGGTCTATGGATGAATTCGATGTAAGCGAACAGATCGTGAAATTAGTCAGTTTATCAAGATTTAAGAATAAAGATTAAAAAGATAAAATGGTAAAAAGAAAGAGAAAAAAAAAAAAAAGAAATACAATAAAACGACAACTTTAGGAATCTATATAGCGAACGCGAGAGGTGAAAGTAATACATATGCTGGGATTTATTGTGAGAAAGTGAAGCTATAGAGATTTCAGCTTTTTTTTATTACAATTTTTTTTTATTATCAAAAAATTTTCAATATATTTTCATCCTTATACTGGAATATGAATTGTTTGATTGCAATTTTATATTTTGCCAAACGGTTAGTGATTTTGATATGATTTGGTAACAAATTATGTAATTTTGGTCCATAAAAAAAAATAAATCTTTGTGTATGCGTTTTCCTAAATATTGGTAAGACAATTGAATTATTTTCGACAAATCTGGTGTGCCTCAATTTGGGAGTGTCATATTTGTCTTTATTGTGAAACATCCAAATTAAACATTGGTAGACATAAAGGCTTCTTATATCTAATATTTGAATTTCCCTGTAAAGTTGTTCAGTAGGAAATAGTTTATTTTTTTTATGTATTATTTTCAGTAATGTATTCTGCATTGATTGTATTTTCATCATCATATTACTGAATAATCCTCCCCACGCTGTAATGCAGTATCTAATAACTGATTCGGCTAATGAATCATATAGTATCATTAAGTTTTTTTTACTCAAGATCTCTCTGATGCTGTAGAATTTGTGAATCAATTGTCTTAATCTTTTGACAACATGGGAGACATGATCATCCCATCTCAGATGCTGATCGAGAATTATACCAAGGTATTTGATACTTGAGGTTTTCTCTATAGAAGGGCAATTACATGGCTGTGTGTTATCACAACCATGTATTGTTAAGGAGTTGTATGGTGGTTGCTCCGTTTTATAGATAGAAAATGATATGAATTTAGTTTTTTTAACATTGAGGCTCAATAGATTGTGGTTAAGCCAAGTTTGTAGTTTACCAAGATCAATTTCTGACTCAGCTTGTAGTTGTAGCCATGAGTTTCCCCTATATACAATGGCTGTATCATCAGCATATGAGATTATATTTCCTTTGAAGTTGTTTATTGAGGTGATACTATTGATATAAACAAGAAAAAGTACTGGACCCAGAACTGTTCCTTGTGGAACACCGATTTTAACATGAATAGGATCACTTAGACAGTTGTCAATCTTGACCACTTGCGACCTCTGTGATAAATAATCTCGCATCAAATTGTGTGCGTTACCTCTGATACCGTAATTTTCGAGTTTCTTCAGTAAAATATCATGGGACACCGTGTCAAATGCCTTGGCAAGGTCTAGGAAGATAGCTAAGCATCTTTCTGACTTGTCCAAAGCATCGACAGTTTTTTCAATAAAATCCAATATTGCTTTTTCTGTATTTGAATTACTTCTGAAACCGAATTGTCTATCTGTTATCACATTGTGTTTATCGAAGAATGCAGTTAGTCTACTTTTAATGCTTTGTTCAAAAATTTTAGCGAAATTATTAATCACAGAAATCGGTCGATAATTGCTCAGGACATTATGCTCGGCTGATTTATAAATGGGGGTTACAAGAGATTCTTTCCATTGTCTTGGTATTTTCCCAGTAGAAAATGAGAGATTAATAACATGTGCCAAGGGTGTAACAATGTTATGATGAATTTTTTTTATAATTTTACTAGATATACCATCAGGCCCAGGTGCACAATTAGTTTTCAAATTTGCTATTAATATTGTGATCTCATTATTTGTGACCGGCTGCAGAAATATTGATGAGGAAATTAATGGGTCATGTAGAAAATTCTCTGGAAGGTATTCACATTTTTTTAAATAGTACAAATACATTTTAGTGAACAAGTTGACACTAATATGTTCTATATTATGTACCAAAATAATGAAAGTTACATTTAAGTGATGCTGAAAAAAGAAAAAAGAGGAAGCATGGTATGAAACGAATGAAAAAGAATAAAGATAAATAGTTGATATAAAGTAAGTCCTAACCCCGAAATTTAGAGAATATACATTACATAGCTACACATAGATTAATGTTAATGACCAAGTTGACACAAATGTTCCATATTATATGTACAAAAAAAAAGAAACATTACATGGAAGTGTTGCTACAATACGAAGCACGGGATAAAAAAACTATACAGCAGATATAAATTAATACAGACCACAATACAGGGGGAGTATATACAGACTATTCGTTTATTATGAAAGATCTCAGTTTCAAAATATTGCAGATATGTGAAGTGATTGATTTTGCTGCAGTTATTTTAACTACAATTTTGTTCTGCGTTCTATGTCAGTTTGAATCAATACATTCTGGTTTTGACTTGACTGGTGTCATTATGATGTTGTGTTTTTTCCTCAGCGTCATTGTTATCAATTGTCATTTGTCGATTGTCATTTGTGATTAGTTTACCTAATTCAACAAATTGAGGTCCACATATTGGTTATCATGGTTCCCTAACAGTTACTCACCCGCACTATGCACTATTTTAATAAGTAATCTTTTTCCACCAATAATGGTAGGTATATTCAGATTTTTAATGAATACTTAAAAACTAACATAAGCGTTGTTTCTTCTTACAGATTTTCATTTTATAAATTTGCTGATGAAGGATTGATCCTTCGAAACGTGTCCTTATGTCCATGACCGTTGGTCATTATCAAATTGGTGTGTGATGAAAACTCGACCTTCCTACCGATTGATCGACGGATAACCCGTTAGCTCAATTGGCAGAGCGTTGGGCATGTAACCCAAGGGTTGTGAGTTCGACTCTGATGCGGGGCGGTGGAGTTTTTTCATTTTCCGTTGTCACTCGAAACTTTCCATCATCTTCATCATTACATGTATCTTTTCGGTCGAGCAACCGACAACTTCTATGTATAGATTGCTTGCGGACATTTCCGTATACAAGGAAAGACAGTGCCAGAGGACGAACGGGGAAAAATGGAGACTGTATAGTACCATCCTGCCAGCGATGCTTCATATAGTGCATGATTCCGAGTGACTTTAGGATTTGGAGGGATTCTGCCGCCTGGTGTGTTATGAGAACTCGACCTTCCTGCCGATTGATCGACGGATGACCCGTTAGCTCAATTGGCAGAGCGTTGGGTATGTAACCCAAAGGTTGTGAGTTCGACTCTCACGCGGGGCGGTGGAGTTTTTTCATTTCCCGTTGTCACTCGAAATTAGGGCTTTTCCATCATCTTCATTATTACATTATCAAATTGTTTATGTGGTGGAGTTATGACTGTAAGTTCTTTAACCCCTCCTGATTTATATCACCTCCACTGTAGGTTATGGATCACCTACGTTGGTAACCTACCATTGTCTGTTACAGAAATACCAGACGTTGAACGAAGTGCCCGACGAGCTCGACACCGAGTACGCGCAGTACCAGTTCGAGTCGCGGCGCACCTACGAGGAGGCGCTCAAGTCGCTGCCCAATCCCGAACCGATCGAGGACTACCGCGACTGCCCCTCGCTGCAGGAGCACCTCGTCCATCGCACCTTTCTCGAGGAGCTCGTCTTCTGGACGGTCAAGTTCGAGTTTCCGCAGAAGATCGTCTGTTTGTTGCTCAACATGCTGCCCGATCCCGACTACAAGGAGCCTCTCACCAGGTAAATGTATTATTTGGGCCTGATAGATAGATATATCTTTATTTAATTAGGAACCCTAATATACACGGCCGAAATCACGAAAGAAAAAAGCGTGAGAAGTGTGAAGTAAATTGATTTAGGTCTCTAGCGACACAGTGGAGTAATTGAATGCCATCATTTTTATTAGGGGAGTAAGTACAATAACTACAATCACTACAGGAACAATGATATAACATAGTGATATAAGTTTATTTACATCCATATATGTAATGTCATTTCTAAGGTCATTGAAGGTTGGGAAGTGTCACATTACACACCTCTACTTCCTGCCCTCACTACTCCCCTTCCTCATTTCCTGTCCTCACTTATGTTATATTTTAGGTATTTTAAGAACGAAACAGATTTATTAATCTTGATCAAAATATGATGGTTGTAAACAATAGCTATTTATATATCGATTTCCTCCCGCGTGTGAAGTTTGATGCACGACGCGTAGCGGAGGGCATTAAACACACATAGGAGGATATGTACCTTTGCTCTCATTATATACAGTGTGTCCCACTTACTATGCTCACCATGGGTATCTTTTTAACGGTGAAAGATACGAGGTCGGTTAAATGACACCAAATGTGGAGTTTGTCAAAGCCAACTATAATGTGAGAAAATATTTTGATAAAATCTATTCGTTTTTGTTTTATACACAAAAAACAGATTTTGCTCATTTTCATGTCTCCTCTGTAACTTCTTTCTAGTGGTAAGTAAGTTGGGGTTTTTGAGGTCGGAGATCATGATTTTATTGTTAAAATTCATAAATTCAAGATGGCGGCTTCCAAATAGTTTTTTGTTTTTGTATAAATGACGATTACTCCGTTGTTATCAACACAAAACTATTACTGCGACATATCATCTGTAAGAGAAAAAGAAGTTATTTGTAACTAAGTCATAGTGAGCTATGACCTACATTTGAAAAACTGAAGTTGGTGCTGATATCTCAAATTCTAGAAGAGTTGGTATAAATTTCATATTTTTTCGAAATCACTTTGAAACACTGCCATGAGAATGTGAAATTCCTATTTGAATATTTTCATAAATAAAGAAGTTACGGAGGAGACATGAAAATGATCAAAATCTGTTTTTTGCGTGTAAAACAAAAACGAATAGATTTTATCAAAATATTTTTTCACATTATAGTTGGCCTTGACAAACTCCACATTTGGTGTCATTTAACCGACCTCGTATCTCTCACCGTTAAAAAGATACCCATGGTGAGCATGGTAAGTGGGACACACTGTATATCAGTTCATCAACGAACGCATTTTTCAAAGCATCATTCTTTATTGTTGTGCATCAGGCGGTCTCGCTCCATCTTCATGCATTACGAAGGTATAGTATGCCATGGACAGTTGACGGCATTTGAACAAGAGTCAATTCGACAATTCTGTCATCATTTTATTTTATTTCATTTAATGAAAATGGGATACAAACAGGCAGAAGCCCAAAACTGCATCCACTAGTTACACAGAATACTCTGAAGCGTACATTTTACAAAGTTAATATCACAATAATATTAAATATTCAGTACCTGAAGATAAAACAAAAATAAATTCCGAATATAGATCAATCAGACGAATATATGGTTCCTAAAAAGTGCCCTGAACTGACTCAATGATGTACAATGTATATCTACGTTGCTGCAATATTTATTAAAATTATCACTCATTCTACTCATTGGCGAGTTCATTCCCAAATTGGTATGACAAAAATTGACATTCAAAAATATTTTAAGTCTTGTGGGTCTAGAGTCTAGACGGTACATGGAATGATATGAGAGATAACAACATAGAAGAACTAAAATGATTCCTCATTATTTTATAGATGAATAATAATAATAATTCTACGTTGGTCCAAGGTTATTTAATTAATTTGTTTATTGTGTAACTGCATTTGAAAGTTGTGATAAGAAGTACGTTCGGAATATGAAGAAGTATGTATGATATCACTGAAATTCAAGAAGGTTATTATTGTTATTTGTTTTATAATGGTGATGATGACATTGATTACTTGGATTGCACAGATTGTATAGGTATATTGACGCCAAAGGATGCTTGCTGAAGCCAATTTATTTCACCTCCCATGGGAATAAATTGATAACTTTGTTTCCTCAAATGAGGGAGCAAACGCCTACTTTCGATTCAGTGAAGTGGGAAGTGATTCATTCCTGTTGTGAGATTAGTTAGTTAACCGAGACGCAAAGCGTCGAGGTTAGCTATAATCTCGAGATAGGACGCTTTGCGTCTCGGTTAACTAACTAATCTCACGACAGGAATTAATCTCTTTCATTTCGGTGTGTAATATACTCTTATTTTGAGTATTGAAATTGACTATTTTGAGCTATGCAATGTAACAACTCTGAATCACTGAAAATATTTCACAGTTCAAAACTGTAACAAGTCTTGATCATTGTATCGACTTATTACAGTATGGAGTTATATGGAAGTGAAGTGTTCTTCAGTTCTATAGAGTAAATAGCACCATCTCTTTGTCAGTTCTGAAACTTTCAGTTGTTATAGTATAGCACGTGAAAGCTAACAAAATGATGAATTATATATAGTATACAACTCAAAATGACTATTTTTAGAAATGTTACACTATTTATTTATTTATTTATTTATTTATTTATCAAACATACTTCCAGTCAGAACAAGTTCTGGTATGAGGGAGAACATAATTATAAAATAATGAGTAATAAATATTTATGAACTACTACACAAACATGAGTAGAAGTGAACATGAATAATAAATCAGAATATCACAATAAAACAAAACAATCCATGAACTAAGAAAATAATTCTAGTCAAGGACATAATTTACTGATGAATTTTGAACATTTCTTTCACAAATGATCAGTTTTTTTACTTTCTCTTTAAATGTACCTATATTTCTGCAGTTTTTAATTTCATCTGGTAGTTTCTTGAACTCAGATAAGGCTGCATGAGTGAATCTTATTTGCCCGAGTGTAGAACTAGCAGCATCAAGGTGAAATAAGTTATATTGTCTAGTTTGATGACTATGAATTTCAAAATTTCTTGTCAAAATAATATTAGATTTCAATGTTTTATATATGATATTGCGTGAAATTTTCAGAGTCTTCTAAAGAATATGTTTTTGTTGAAGCATACAGTTCAGTTGTTGGTGAATCATATGGAAGAAAATACACTACTTTAAATGATTTCCTATATAATGTTGATATTTTATTAAAATTATTTTCAGAATAAGATCCTCAAACATTTATTAAATAGTCAGATTTAGAAGATTAGATTTAGAATGTGGCCTTCGGGCTATCTGCCTATCTTTTCAGATCTATTGTGTCTGCCCTCAAAATCGATTAGAGTTCTTTGGCTAGCCCCGTCTTCTCTATGAGACTCCATAGGCTAGCTTTCAGATCCCCTGTGTATCTTTGAGCTTCTGGTTGTTCCTCACCCAGCGTTCAAGGAACCTTAGTCTTGACAAGCCTTCACAGTGGCAAAGTATGTGTACTGCTGTTTCCTCCTCTTCCTGACAGAACCTGCAGAGCAGTTCTTCAGTCAGACCTATCGTACTCATTTGTTTGTTGAGCCTACAATGCCCTGTGAGAAGTCCCACTAGTATTCTAGTTGAACTTCGTTTCAATTTCTATTAAATAGTTGATTCGACTTATTATATGTGAATAGAGTACTATATTTGCAATTTTCATATTGAGTTTGGGATATCTTCTCAATGCACCAATAATAGGAGATATTTTCTTTGTCAGAACCTCAATATGTTTGTCCCACTATTGAACTGGGGTATCGATTTCTTCTTCGATTCTAGGGCGTTCGTTCTGCACTACAGCCGCATCTCGATGATGCTAGAAAGGTCCGCCGATCCCGACACGCTCAGCAACCGGGTGGTCCATGTCAGCGTGCAGCTCTTCTCCAACGAGAGTTTGGCTCTGCGCATGACCGAGCAATTGAACTTGCTGCACGTGATGGTGGTCAGTTTGAAGTACATGATGAGCAAGATCTTGATCAAGAATACGTTGCACGGTGAGTTGTTTAGGAATAAGCACAGGCCCCTCTTCCCCACTGGGCACACTGGGCACGTGCCCAGGGCCCCGTGAGGATTGGGGCCCCCTAGTCTCGATAGCTACTCTACACTCGCCTGAGAATCAGGCTTACCGAATGCAGAATGTTTAATAAATTCCCATATAATGGGCTTACATCACAAAAATTTTTTATTCCATAATTCGATAGAACTCACCCAAACTAGCTCACCACCGCAAACCATTTCTTGCTGTGAGCTCCCTACGTTTTATAAAAAATTATTGAAATCCCCGATTTTTCGGACCTCTGAAAACGAGGCGATGATGTGACGTCAAAACCCTAATACTGAAACAAGACTATTCCAGACAGAGATGAATGATACATGATTTCTGACAGAGTGAATTAGCGCGAGATCACAGTTGAAAGAATTGATATATCAGTTGCCTCAGTCTCCGTCGGGCGTTTGGTATTTTCTTTTAACTATGGCGAGATGAGGTTTCTACGTCATAAGAGGGTCCGTTTTCAGAAGGTACTAGTATTTATGCCCAAAAATAAAATATTCCAGTTAATTTTCGATCGAATTATGTCGTCAATCATTATTTATGTATAAAAGGATCATTATAAACATGGTTTGAGTTAAAAGTTCTACTAAGGTGTACACGCCCATTGTTCATTTCAATTGCCTTTCGCAATGATAATTTAGTTGAAAAAAAGTAAAAAAAAAATAGAAGTTTGGTTTATTTTTTCGCTTGAAAACTCTGAATCCCGAAGAGTTGAGACAAAGTTGCAAAGAATTTGCTGAAATCTACTATGAAGACGTAAATGAGAAAGAGTTAGTAATGGAATGTCTGCATTTAACAGAATACTTGAAAATTGATCAGAGTAAAAATGAAAAAACTAATAGTATTCTGGAAATATATCATCTTTTGAAAGAGAGAAAAATTGAAGACACCTCTCCTAATGTAGAAATCGCACTGAGAATCTTTCTAAGCATTATACACACACTGGCACAATTAGGGGAACGGGCAAAATTTACACTAAGTTTGACATCAATTTTCTCTCGAACCGATCACTCGATTCAAATTTGTTTTTCAAGAATTCAAGCTTCATTCTTCACGAATACATCTGAGAAATAACCACCTCCAAACGATTCGTCTTTATATCATATACAGGGGTGTAAAGAAAGTACGGATTTTTCGGTATTCTTTAAGACATCCTGTGGAGTGAACCACTGATAATTGAAACGATTTTCCAACACCAAATTATAGCCCAATCTATCCCGAATATTTTCGTTTTGTATTCATCTTGATATCCCAATTATCCAAGAAAATATAGAGTTTCAAAGAAGAAGTGGATATTGGTATTAATTTTACCACCTCGAAACTCGAACTGGGGAGACTCGTTTTTCAACTTGTTTCTGTGAGGATTTTTACTTCAAGAAGAGAATTGTTCACAGTTTTACCTATGGGTTTACTGTTTAAAGACACATATACGAATACTCTCATGAATATGCAGGGGTGATAAAAGTTGCTCCAATGTTCTTTTGGTGAAATGCTATTTTTGTTAATCAACGTTGGCTATTTTGTTAATGTCATTAATTATTGTCAAAGTCAAGCGATTCACAATTCATAAATTTGATTAATGAAAATTCAACGTGAGAGATTTGACTCCTACTGATGTGGCGAGGTCTGTAGCATTAATTGAAAATGACCAGTGGGCCAATGTTCTTTTAACATATGAAAGCCGCATCTGCACCAATTCAATAGATGGCAGAGAAAGACTATATCTCCGAGGTGAACAAAATGAACAATTTGATTTTACTGCTTCTGTCTCCTATGGCAGAGATTTAGTCATGTTTAGGTTAGGTTAGTCAAGAAACGACACATTTTCAGATCCAATTTGAGTTTTAAGGTGTAAAATTGCTACCAATATTCACCTTTCCTTTGAAACTCTATATTTTCTTGAATAACTGAGATATCAAGATGAATAAAGAACGAAAATATTCAAAATAGATTGGGCTCCAAATTGGTTTTGAGAAATCGTTTCAATTATCAGTGGTTCAGTCCACAGGATGTCTAAAAAAATACCAAAAAATCCGTACTTTCTTTACACCCCTGTATATGATGGAAAGACTCATCGTTTGAAGGTAATTATTTCTCAGATGTATTCGTGAAGAATGAAGCTACATTTCGTGAAGAAAAAAATTTGAATCGAGCGATCTGTTCGAAAGGAAATTGATGTCAAACTTAGTGTAAATTTTGCCCGTTCCCCTAATTGTGCCAGTGTGTGTAGTAACTAACTGCAGTGGGGAACGCTCCTTCTTGAAATTAAAACGAATAAAAAGTGAATTAAGAAGTACAATGCTTCAAGAGAGATTGAATAGTTTGTCGCTAATGTCGATAGAATGTGATATGCTCGAAAACATAGATTTTGAAGATGTTATTAACGATTTTGCTCTACTCAAATCTAGAAGGGTACTTCTTCAATCAGCATAGATACTTATATAAGGAGTATAAGGACTAATCGTGGATGCTGGTTACTTAGTGTGGATTACATATCTAAATAATGCTAAAACTCTGCATTTCTACGTTATTTGTCGATTCTAACAAAATAGTACTTTATTATGGTTTATTAGGCAAGAACAGGAATGTGTACTTGCGTTTATTTGTGATTCTCTGGTGTAAGAATTGTGTAGGAACGAATAAAACGGCAAAGAATGAAGAATGACATTGATGTAATGACAACCGTGTGAAAACCACATGCAATCAAAATGACATAATAATCATCAATAAAAAACATCAAAGTTTAGATTAGATCAATTTTTAGATTTTTGGGTTGGAATTTCTAACTATGACTAATCAATAATCATTCCCTAGACATTGGAGTTATTCCATATTATAAAATTTTGATAGTAGCTATATACCGGGTGTCCCATTTTAATCTTTATTTGGAAATTTCTCGAAATGTATGCATCTGACAAATAAAATTGCCGAATAAAAGTTGTATGGTTTGGAGGGGGACGTCTGGTTATAAAACAAGTTTCACCCCCTGACCCCCAGGGGAGTGGGAAATGGAGGTAACATTGAAATCTTTAATGGAAACCCCTATTTTTTATTGCTGATTCTGGAAGAGCATTGAAAACTATGAAGCTTTTATTCGGGAACTTCTTTTTTATTTTCACAAGATGGCGCTACGATCTTGAAAAACAATATTTTACTATTTAGTTTGTAGTTGGCCACCCAGATCACCCGACTTGACTTCCCCAGACTTCTTTCTGTGGGGTTACATCAAAAACATTGTGTTTCGCGAACCCCCAACCACACGCGAGAATATGAAGGATAGAATCAGAGGAGCGTGCATGGCTTTAACGCCTGCTATGTTGGAAGCGACAGTGCGGAATTTTGAAAAACGAGTGAACTTGTGTATTCAAGAAAATGGAGGTCATTTCGAACACTTGATAAAGTAGTCAATCTCTGTTAAAACCAGCTTTAGTCTGACCTAAATGATACCTTAATTGCTGAAACATGCTTATTTTTCTCTCTTCTATGTAGAGGTGTCAAGGTAAGTAAGTTCGTTTAGCATTAATTTGTCGTGTGAATATCACCCCAATGGCGTTTGTCTGGGAAAATATCACACCCTACACTCTTCCTCGTCTTCAGGGGGTTGAAATGTGTAATTAGTGAAATATTTTTTTTTACGATCGCAGCGCCATCTTGTGAAAATAAAAAAGAAGTTTCCGAATAAAAACTTCATAGTTTTTAATGCTCTTCCAGAATCTGCAATAAAAAATAGGGGTTTCCATTAAAGATTTCAATGTTACCTCCATTTCTTACTCCCCTGGGGGTCAGGGGGTGAAACTTGTTTTATAACCAGACGTCCCCCTCCAAACCATACAACATTTATTCGTCAATTTTTTTTGTCAGATGCATACATTTCGAGAAATTTCCAATTAAAGATTAAAATGGGACACCCGGTATAAATGGAGAATATTGTAGTGAATCATGCAGTGAGCATCATATTATGGAAAAGAAAAGTGTATTGAAACTTATATTTGTTACCTACCTAGCGACATTCTTTATGAAATTATGGATTCATAAGATGACAAAATTGAATCCAGGATGATGAATGTTCCTTACTGACCTTTTTCAGAATATGTAATGAAGAAGTCCAAAAAATTGAAAATTTTTATGAGATTGTTATACCAAGATTCAATACAAAGACCATCCAGAGCTATTTCAGATTGACTCCTGAATATTTCCATGAATATGCACATTTTTCCTCTTTTGCTCACTCATCTTTTCCATCAGTAGGTACCTACCTCTTCCTTATTCCGTATCTACTATTTGTATTCTGCAAAGTTTTTGATTACAACAAAATGATTATGATGTATGTCAAATATCCTTATTTGTCATAGAGTCACTGTATGTACCTTAGACAAGAGTCCGGACACAGCTATACTTCTGTGCTTTTCTGTTTTCAAAAATGATTGAATAAAGGAATAAGACATATATATCGAGCTCTGTCTTTTCAATTCCCCTAGTATCAATGATTGTCAGAAACAATTTTGAGGGTTAGATTATTTGTCAAACCTTTCATAGCCGTAGGTAGAAGTGAGAAATAGGGCTATTTTAACTAGAATAACTATTAGATTTTCAAATAATGAACAACAGGGTGTTCAAATTTCGAATCGATAATTTCCATAATCAATTCCTGAGATGGCTATTGCAAATTGTCGTTATCAGAAATTTTTTCACTTCATTAGATATAAGAAAGTTAATTTAATTGTTCTACGTGGTATCAGATATAGCCAAGAAATAGTTATTTGTTTAACTAGGCAGCAAAGTAGTAGATTGACTGCCGTGGCTGAATTCATAGCCGAGCGTAGCGAGGCTAGGAATCCAGCTAAGGCAGTCAATCTACTTTGCTGCCGAGTTGAGCATATAATTTTTTCTCCGATTGTTCATAATGATATGGGAGAATATTGTATTTGCGAATTAATACAATTCCCACAATCTCTTTATTCTTCCTGTATAGTGTTCAATTAAAATAAAATTTGATAGAAATCGCAGTTGTTGGTTTGACAATTCATGAAATTTCTGACAGTTGTGCGAAAAAATATCGGTATATTTAAATTATTATATAATGGACAGTGATAGCGACCTGGAAGTATACTTACACCTCCATTAATAAGGGAGGTGGCAAAAAATATAGAGTTGAATTTGTTGCCGGAGAAGTCTCGAATGGAATATGAAGGAAATTATAAACGATTTGTGGATTTTTAATTTTGCTGATACATATCAATCAGCAAAGTAACCACTTTGCTGCCTAGGCAGCAAAGTACCCACTTTGCTGCCTAGGCAGGAAAAGTAATACTTTGCTGATCGATATGTGTCAGCAAAATTAATATTTGCTGCCAATCGGAGGAAAATATAGTTGTTTTCTGTTGGGATATAGAAAAATAGAAGATATATAATTATTTCAATATAATTTTAATTGTGTCGGTTTCCCACCTCTTCCTGCAGTCTACATTCACCTGTAAATTTTGAATTTGATCTGAATTAAAAACACCGTTGACTGATGACATAGCACATTGCAATTTCTCTAAATCTTCTAGTTTTGATTTCAAACTTTCAATTTCTTTCCACATCATCTCATTCTCATTTTCTTTCTCTGCGATCGTATCATTCAGTAATTCCCAATACGATGACGACGGAACTCTTTTTTTGAACGTCTCTATTTTATAAATTGACGGCACAGCAGACTCTTTCAATTCGAAATCCATCAGCTTGAAAGAATCTCTATCAAAATGGGCCTAAAATTCATCTTGCTTGTACTGTTTTTTCAAGTAAATTTGAATATTTACATCACATACTGCGGATTTCTTGAAATTAATTTTCCATTCTGGACGTTTCATTGCATTCTTCCATGACATTATCTTTAAAGGATCATTCGGAAAATTGAATAACTTGAATCCCTTTTCTAATGAATTATCGCAATAATGTACGCAGCAGGACATTGAAATAATTTAAAATGCAAAATTTTGACGGTCATAAAATTTCAGTGACAGTGACAGAAATTCGAAATAATTAGAAAAAGCGGGCGGGACGACTATGGTGTATCGTCACATTGTCAGGTGGGCAAACCAAATAAAACAAAATATTAAAAACCCCAACGGCTGTCAGTTTTGTGTCCGGACTCTTGTCTAAGGGACTACAGGGACTCTAATTTGTCAAACATTCCACCACGCATTCGATGTTCTGGGACCGAATGGCCAGTGCCATCAGGATGATAAGAAATTCCACAGAATAGTCAATGAAACGACGATTCTGTCCCACTGGTGACACTAGCAATGCCAATAAAACGCAACTTGTGAATGGGCCTGTTTCAGTGAAAAATGTTATTTCATTATTTCGAAGCACTAACCCTAACTAGTTCACTGTCGCAAACCGTTTATTCTTCCCAGAGGTCTGTACATTAAATTGAATGGTTATTGAAATTCACGATGTAGTCATATATCTGTCAGTCTGATTCTGTGCTTAGATTTTGAAAATTTGCGAAATCAGTGGTTGATTAGTAATCAGAAAGTGGAATTTAAGATGAAAGGACTTGCCGTTCATTCTCGGAGATGGTGTTATTGGCTAGCACAACAAACGCCATCAACAGTGTATATATATCTGGAAAAATTTATGAAAACTGACATTTTATAACCTATTACCAGGGATGAATTGTAAAACTTTTTTCTTGTCACAGAAAAATATACATTTTTTTATATATTATTTGCAGATAGCGAAGATAACTTCCATTACGTCGTTGATTGTGGCAAGCCAGTGATGAAAGACCATTGCTATTGGCCGCTGGTCTCCGATCTGAACAACGTGCTGTCTCACAAGCCGGTGGCCCTCAAATTCATGGCCGACGATGGGCTGCTCGAGATGTGGTTCGCATTTCTCGCAATGTTTCAAGGTAAATGAATTTTCAGATTTCATATTTTTTTGGTGATATAGTGAGTAATTTATTCGTAATCTACACAGAAGTCGCGTCATGTTTTAAAGTGTAGTGTACTAGTTCATGAGGCAAAAATATTTCAAGTACTCTCTGCAGTGTTCAATATCATGAGATTATGAAATAGGTAACAGACCTCATCATCAGACAATATAAATTATTCTGGGTGATTCTTGTCGCAAGTTGTCATATTTTGGTTGTGAATCTGTACAATAGGAAAAAGCCATGAAATTTCATTACACTTCCAACTCTTACGTCAGCTGTCACTTTAAACTCCATCATTCATAATAGCAGGAAATTATTCAACTATCTTATCAATATTATAAAAATGCGAAGCGGACTGAAATTCAGGAGAAAAGTCAAAAAGCTGTTAGTTATTGTTTAATCATTATGTTTCTATCACCCAAGTATATTCAGCATTGTTTTTGTTTTTCATATCTACAATGGGAGAAAAAAAAATTACCTTCCGTGGTAGGTAAAATGAATTAGCTTTAAATCGTAGAAATCATCCATACTCAAAGTGATCCAGTATATTTTCGATGAAAATAAAAATACTCAAAGTCGATCGACTACACTTTATGTAAAAAATAATCAATTAAACAGTAACCGGTTTCAGCACAACGGCCATCATCAGACTGCAGTACTTTATAAAGTCACAATAAATAATACAGAAGTACATCATTGGGCTGATCATCAACCCGGTTACTGTTTAATTGATTATTTTTTTACATAAAGTGTGGTCGACCGACTTTGGGTATTTTTATTTTCATTCAAAATTGGCTTTAGCTTGCTTCCTCAGTAGAGATATACATATAAGATCTGTGCTACACAGGTACCTAATCAGTGTCCCAATCATTTCTATAACACAAATAACAATTTCCTTTTCGAACTCCAATGATCTCATATACTTCCTCATATTCCAAACTTACTCAATGGAAACTTCAAATAAAATGAAAATGCAATTACAAAATGAACAAATTTGGTGGTGACGGAATTCTCAAATTGATTTGCGTTCAGATCTTACTAACCTTCGATCACGTAACACATTGATTTGGATCGAGACTTGAGAGATAGACCGCATGAAGCACAATTTTAAGAACGACGCTCTCGAATATATGTGTTCGTGAATAACATCATATATACAGTCTGTCCAAGTGTAACGACCTTTGTTTCTGAGGCCCTTACTTTGGCGGTCTGTTCAGGACGGCGACTACTCTGGTATTTGACGGAGGGGGGGTCTCGAGCGCCAGATTGTTCATGAGGTAGTTTACTCTATCTGCTCTGCACCAAATATCTTGGTACAGAGGCCCAAAGTAGCAACAGTGGAGACAGGTACAGGAGGTATACCTACCTCGGTACCTACAGTATAAACCAGGGGTCAATGTTATTGAATCGACCTGGAATCAATAAGGAGTCAAGGGAGTGTAGGCTTTAATTACAAACCCTGGGTTTAGCCTGGAATACTGGTTGCTATTTTTAGTCGGGATAATTACAGGAATCAAAGCAAAATATCTCTCGGGTCTCTGGTATTTTTAATTATCTATTCACCCTATTTCATCAAGTCTACCTGGAGAATCGGAAACACAGTTCCAAACGAATTAAACAGATTCAACTCATATTTATCTTTCCTTTTCCTTCGATTTTCTTATTTTCTAATATCGGAATTTTAGTGAGGTTAATTATATTTTCTATCCATGTCAAAATTTCATTAACCACCGGCCACAGCCTGACAGGATACCATGCGCAGAGACACGGGTGCATAGGACAGGATTTCTCAAGGAAAAGAAGAGGAAAAAGAATTGACAACTGGCTTGTCAGTGTCAGTCAATGATAATAATAATAATAAGCAATTTGACTAATGAAATTTTTGAAAATCATTAAATTAATTACTGGAACTGAAAACAATGACAACAGAGAAAGAAATATGAAATATGCCATTACAAAAAACTTTTATTCGCAAATACAACTCTCTGGATTCGTTATGATCAGGTAAACATCCTACATTTCAACTGATAAATAATTCATCCAAATTTCATATCATAAGCGAAGGGTTGAAAAATATTGAAGTCTTTGGGTTTGTTATGATGTTTATCAGAGTTTACTATCAGGAAAAGCTTTGGAAAGTCAGGAATCAATGAATTACTGAGCTCTCTCAGGTTTTCAGGTTTTGAGCTTTCGAACAAGTGAAATTCAACTAGAATTAGTCTCAGGTACTTAAATATTAATCATAACCAGTCTAGTAATGAAGCTGGTCAAAAACACTTCATTACACAATATAAGGTTGCACAGCATGGGGATCTCGAAAACGGTAGGGGATACGAAGTCGGATGAATGGGGAAAAAGTTGGGCATTCGGAGGGTCATATTAACAGCCCGCGAAAAATTTCAAAATCGTTTCTAGTTTCCCAGTGATATCGAAAAAAGTGAATTTGTGGAATATCTATTTCATTTTTTGTCTCCGTTATTATTAGAGATACAGAAAATCTGAAAACACTTTTTCATAGCAACTTTTGATAACCCTTTGATAACTTCACACGCGGGTGGAAATGGATACCTTTCCTCCCTTGCTATACAGGGTGTTTCATGAGAAGACTCACATAGTTGAATGGTTAATAGGGGAAATCAAGACGAGTTGATGTATATATACGAAAACATTTTTTGACCCTCCATAACGAAGATACAGGGTATTATGTGAAATTGCTATATAACTTTGATGGTCGATATTACAGATGTGATTCGTCGTGATGTGCTGAAATTTGGCAGCGACGTATCTCTACTGAAACTATTCAAGATAACATGTTTCATTGTTATGTCAAAGAAGTCCACTTTGTGACCACTTTTCTCGAAAAATTCCATCTGATTCAGAAAGATCAGACAAAATGCTATTAGAACTGCTCTTCAATTTACACGGCACACTTCGAACAGTTAAATAAAAAAATATGGAACAAAATCGTTCCAATGAATTTTAAATTTCGACCTGGCTGATAACTGTCAACTTTCAACTGGTATCATGTGATTTGATTTTTTCTTCCTAATAGTAATTGACAGAAAGATAGAGGAGAAGAAAAAACACGATATTTTTCATCGAAATTCCAGATAGATATTATTATCCCTGACTCTGTTTTCTGGGTGTCGCTTGAAATGAGATATCTAGTATATCCTGTTTTTCATTTGTGTGACGAGACGTGACGTTTGTTGATAATCGGTAGGTACTAGGCTAGTACTAGGTAGGTACCAACTGATGAAATTACGACATGAAGATTCATGTGCTCATATTATGGTGATTTATCAAATTAGTTATGCAATCACGCATAAACTCTGCTCCAATTTTTGTTATTGATACAGTTCTGCAAGTGATATAAGGATGCCTTCGCTATTTATTCGAAATTCCTCATGTTCATCCTCGTGAAGGTTTAACTGCAACGTATTCTTGGGTCTGGAAATATTCTATGGTATTGAACATAGCATGCATAGCATTTGGATTCTCGTCTTGTTCAGCATTTGGAATATGAAGTGGCACCTAGAGTGTAAGAATAGTTCGATTACCAGTGTTTACCTATCAACGAATGCTACGTTACATAAAATAAAAACAGGGCACACTTTATAACAAATTTATGAAATAGAGTCACGAGTAATCATATCTATCTAGAAGTTCGGTCAGAAACAAACATGTCAAATCATAAAAAAAATCAAAACCAATCTCTTTTGTCAATTCCTATCCAATAAAAATGTACAAAAAAATCAATTTACACGAATCCAGTTAAAAGTTGAGAGTTATCAGCCAGGTCGAAATTGAAAATTCATTCGAACGTTTTTGTTCCGTATTTTTTTATTGAACTGGTCAAAGTGTGCCGTGTAAATTGAAGAGCAGTTCTCATAGCGTTTTGTCTGATCTTTCTGAATCTGATGGAATTTTTTGAGAAAAGTGGTCACCAAGTGAACATCTTTGACATAACAATGAAACATAAAATTTTCCCAAGTCCGGACCTGGATATATTTTTTTATAATATGTTATCTTGGATAGTTTCAGTAGAGATACGTCGCTGCCAAATTTCAGCAGACTACGACGAATCATTTCTGTAATATCGACCATCAAAGTTATATAGCAATTTTACATAATACCCTGTATCTTCGTTATGGAGGGTCAAAAAATGTTTTCATATATTATATACATCAACTCGTCTTGATTTCCCATATTAACCATTTGGCTATGTGAGTCTTCTCATGAAACACCCTGTATAAATAGCTATACTGTTCGTTGCAGGCATGAACGTGAACCAGCGCGAGCAGACGCAGCACATCGAATTCGAGCCGAACACCTACTATGCGGCGTTCAGCGCTGAACTGGAGGCTAGCGCCTACCCGATGTGGGCGCTCGTCTCGCATCTGACGGACGAGAGCACCGCCCATCTCACCAGGCGGGTGCTCGGCGTGTGCGTCAACGAACTCAGGGACTGGTTCGAGGCCATCGCTTTCACTAGTCCATCGGTGGTAAGCAATGTAGTTCAGTCATTGGGGATCCAAAATAAGGCTTACCTGGAAAAAAGTCCGGAAGTTTTGAAACTTTGTAGGATTATAGATTTGGGTGTCCAGAACTAAAATTCACAAAATGCACATTCCGGGACTGTAGAAGACGCAGTTGAAGATACCCTGTATGAGTCAACTTTTCATGATTTTGAAAGATTGTCAAAAATAATATTCTGACATAATGTTAATTAATTTCTGTATTTTGTCAAGTTGTGGATAAAAGGCGAAAATAAAAATAGGTTTTTGCATTCAAATACAGAATAGCTTTTACATTTGGTCCTTCGAGATAACTAAGAATCACTATGGAAGAAAATAATGCAGCAGAAGAAGCGACAGATCTTCAAGAAGTGCGAAGAAGTGAGCGACACAATAAAGGTGTTCCACCTAAAAGATATGCAGATTTGGACAATGCAGGACTTAGTTCGAGTGTAGCTCTGAATGATGATCAGATGAACAGCTATACAAGTTCTGTAGGAAAAGTCATGTCTGGCAAAAATCAGTCTGAAGTGGAGATTCCCAAAAGTGTATCACGAATGAGTATTAAGTCTGTGGTTTCAGCTAAAGTAGTAGATGCTTTAAGTGGTAATAAATCTAAAAGAGGTGAATCTGTCAAATCCAAGAATTCAAGTCTTGTTAAATTGAATATCGAATTGGCATTGATGAAAAAACAAAAGGAGCTTGACGACGAAGAATCAAGAGCTAAAGAAAAGTTGAAAGCTCTAGAAAGAGAACGTCAATTTTTAATAAAGGAAGCTGAAATACGTAGAAAAATAGCAGGAAGAAGCGATACAAGTAGCGTGGTTAAAGAAGAAGAAATGTTGCCACCTTCCGTTTCCTCAGAGAATCTCTACCAAAATCCAGCTATCATGAGTAAATGGATAGATGACGTGGAACATTTCAAGGATATGAAGTCGAGCCAACGAGAACCTGATTTGGTAATGTCCAATCTATCGTTTTTGTGTGGAGTAAAATCTGCAAATTCCGTTGGGGGTGGAGAGAGTTACAATGTACTAAGGGATCTCACAAAACAGTGTATTGATAATACAACCACCACCAATAAAATTTTGTTACGTCATAAAATGAGGGACCTCACTCTGTTTTCTGGTGAGCTGACAGAGTGGCCCATTTTTATTAACGAATTTGAAAGATCTACAAAGCAGCTTGGTTTATCTGACGAGGACAATTTGATCCGCCTGGATAAAGCACTAAAAGGGAAAGCAAGAGACACCGTCAAGGCCTTACTAACCAGTCCAAGAAATGTACCAAAAATTATGAAAATGCTTGAAATGAATTTTGGTAGGACAGAGTGGATAATTCTCTCTCTGATAGAAAAAGTAAAGAAGGTTGGTGTGGTCAGAGAAGACAGATTGGACTCTTGGATTTACTTCTCCAATGCGGTAAATAATATGGTAACTACCATGAAGAACGTCAACTCGTCTCTTTACCTCTTCAATCCAGAATTGTTAGCCGGTTTATTAGAGAAACTCCCTACCATCCAAAAATTCTCTTGGGGAAAGTTCAAGCATCACCGTGATGTACAGGGTCTTCAAACATCATTGGAAGATTTTGCAGATTGGTTTGAAGAAGAACTACAATCGATGACTGCTATCAGTAATCCATTTCAGCGAAACAGTTCGTACAAAACTGTTCCAAGAAAAGAAACTGTCATGACCTCGAGGAAAAGTAGTACACAACATATAGAATCCAGTGAATGTATGTTGTGTAAAAATGTTAGTCACGCCATATCGAAATGCAAGAAATTTACGGATATGACAGTAACTAAAAGACGAGAAACAATCCTCAGTTTGAAACTATGTTTTCTCTGCCTTAAAGTAGGTCACATGGCTTTTAGGTGTTTCTCGAAGTCAAGATGCGGAGAGAATAGTTGTAAAGGGAGACACCATCCTCTTCTTCATATTGAGCGTGATGAACAGAAGCAAGGCGATGAAGAAATTCCTAACAACGTCGAGAGGTCTGAAAGCAAAGAAATCCCATCCTCCGATTTTTGCGCTAGTTTGACCAGGAAGCCATCAAATGAGAAGAATAGTGTGCTATTGAGAATCGCTCCCGTGATGTTGCGCGGACCTGCAGGTGAGATCAAGACATACGCTCTATTTGATGAAGGATCAACGTGTACCATGATCGAGGAGGACTTAGCTGATAAACTTCAACTTCATGGACCGGTTGTACCCCTTTGCTTCCAGTGGACCAACGAAATTACCCACTATGAAGATCAATCCCAAATGGTTTCTGTAGACGTTGCTGCTGATAAAGCTACTCAAGTGTTTTTCAGTATGAACCAAGTAAGAACCGTAAAAAACTTGCGGTTGCCGAGGCAGAAAATAAATGTTGAAGACTTGATCAAGAGGTTTCCTTATTTGGATCATGATATTTTGAAATCTATCAGCTATACGAAGCCTGAAATGTTGATCGGACAAGACAATTGTGGTCTTATTGTACCAAGAACTGTCATCCAACCCAAACTGAATCAGCCTATAATGTCTCTCTCTAAATTAGGTTGGACAATTCACGGACCTGTTGATGAAACTAACCCAGAGAATTTCCTATCTCATGTTAGCCTCTGCTGCCGTCATGTTGGAGATGAAGAACTGCATCAAATAGTAAAAGATAGTTTTCGTCTAGAAGCTTTCGGTGTGAAGATGCAGGATGGAATCATCAAATCGGTAGAAGATAAGAGGGCAATGGAAATTATGGAAAGAACTGTGGTGAAAATTGATGGACGTTATCATATCGGTCACTTATGGAAACAGGATGACTGTTCATTGCCTCAAAGCAAAGCAAATGCTCTGAAGAGGTTGTTCTGCATGGAGCGCAAAATGGACCATGATGCCGAGTTTGCTTCACAGTATACTGCAAAGATCGCGGAGTACATTCGGAAAGGATATGCCAAGAAGTTGAATCCCACAGAGATACCGAACAACAACAAAACTTGGTACCTTCCCCATTTTGCGGTCTGGAACATAAACAAACCAGGGAAAATCAGGATGGTCTTTAATGCTGCAGCGAAATCCCAAGGTTTCAGTTCGAATGATTTCCTTTGTCAAGGTCCAGATTTCGTGCCATCTCTCATTTCTGTTTTGTGGCGATTCAGACAACATCAAATCGCTTTTGGAGGGGATATTAAGGAAATGTTCCACCAAGTATCAATCATCGAGAAGGACAGATGTGCTCAGCTCTTTCTTTGGCGTGGTATGGAAAGAAATGAACGTCCTGATGTTTACATCATGAATGCGATGATATTTGGTGCTATTTCGTCCCCGTCCGTAGCTCAATTTGTTAAAAACAAGAATGCTGCCTTATTCGAGTCCAAATGTCCAGGAATAGTGAGAGCTATGAAAAAACAGCATTATGTGGACGATTATCTGGATTCTTGCTGTACAGAGGATGAAGCCATATGCAGAATAAAAAACGTGATCTATGTACATAGGGAAGCAGGGTTCGAAATGGTGAAGTGGATGAGCAATTCACGTGCGGTAATGAACTCTATTCCAAAGAATCTTCGAGCTGATTACCAAACTGATGTCAAAATAGATTCGACATCATTGGAACGAGTTCTGGGACTGTCTTGGTCTCCAAAGAAGGACAACTTCGTTTTCACCCTCAACCTGAAAAAGATTCCTCCTGAGATATCTGGTGGTTTGAAGGTTCCAACGAAAAGGGAAATATTGCGAATGGTCATGTCCATTTTTGACCCGATAGGTTTCCTTGCCCCGCTCATGATCAATGCTAGGATTCTGTTGCAGAATATATGGAGAAGCAATATATTATGGGACCAAGAGATACCAGAAGAAATCTTCGAGGCCTGGTTGAAGTGGTTGAGACAGTTGAATGAGATCACACCTGTTATGATTCATAGGTATTATTTTCCAAGTCTATCAAGTGTCAGAAAAGTGGACCTCCATATATTTTGTGATGCGAGCGATAAAGCGTATGCTGCAGTTGCTTTCCTTAGGACAGTTGAAAATGGAAACATATATACAGCATTCGTTACATCAAAATATAAGGTGGCACCTATGAATCAACAAACAATCCCCAAGTTAGAATTACAAGGCGCAGTTCTTGCTTGTAGAGTAGCCAAAATTATACGCAAAGAACTCGAGTATGATTTTGAACAAATTTATTTCTGGACAGATTCTATGGTAGTTCTGCAGCAAATCAGGTCCGAATTGAGACGATTTCCCATTTTTGTAGCGTGTAGACTGGGAGAAATTCACGAGGATACTGATATTGCACAGTGGCACTGGGTACCGACGGATATGAACGTCGCGGATCAAGCCACCAAGGAAATAAAGAATATCAATCTTCTACCAGATGGTAATTGGTTTTCAGGACCAGATTTCTTGAAGTTGCCCGAGACAAATTGGCCAGTTGAACCAAAATGTTCCAGTGAATGTGAACAGATTCTCGTCGTGAGTTTGGATGATGCTGAATGTCTTAGAATGGAATTCCCGAAGATTTCTAGATTCTCCAAACTGAATAGACTTATTCGATCGACTGCATGGATTCTGCATTTCATGAAAGTAGTGAAGACCCCAAAACGATTACGTCCAAGTACACTACAATTAGATGTGGAAGAAATAGAAACAGCCCGAAAGTTATGGATAAGGAATAGTCAGGGTGAAACTTTCAAGGAAGATATTGCTATTCTAAGAAGGAAGAAATCCGTACCTAAATCAAGTCGGCTTTTCAGATTGTCAGTTTTTTTGGATGAAGATTCTATCATACGATTAGGAGGCAGGATACCAGAAAATGAGATACACAATGTACCCTTTGAGTCAAGAAACCCTATTGTGCTGGATCCGAATCATGAATTCACAAAACTGTTGATTGATCAGTATCATGAGGAATCGAGCCATTTTGGTTTAGAGACAGTAGTCAACAACCTTCGATTGAAGTTCTGGATTATTAATGTTCGAGCTGCAGTCAAAAGAAGTTTCCAGAAT